TTCGGGTTGTGGAGGATTACTTAAAATACAGACGGATACCGTACGAGACGATCGAAGGACAAGTAACGAGACAGGTCACCGCTGGGGTGGCACAGGGGTCGATACTAAGACCTGACTTCTGGAATGGCTCATACGATAGCTTGCTTCGGCTTAGGATGCCGCTCGGAGTGACCCTCGTCGCCTACGCTGATGACGTGGCGGCGGTGATTACGGAGTGGTCCCCCGAGCTGGCGCAGCTGGCGTTGAACCAGACCATGAGACGAGTCGGACGATGGATGACAGACCACGGACTGTAGTTGTAACTCGCAATGGTAAAAACGGTACTGATGCTTCATACGAGAAGAGCATACAGACGTTACTGCACATGAGGATGGGGACATACGAGATGGAGATCAAGAGGGAAGTCAAGTACCTTAGGGTAACCCTTGATACGAAGATGACCTTCTGGCCTCATATACAGAAAACAACCCGGAAAGCGGCAGAGAGGATAACATCCTTGAGTCGCCTGATGGCAAATACGATGGGACCGAGATCGGGAAAACAACGACTGCTAATGGCGACAGCTCACTCGATCCTTCTATACGGCGCGGAAATATGGGCAGACTCCCTGAAGACAAAGAAATACCGTAAGTCGATGATGACGGTACAGAGACAGGGCGCACTGCGAATCGCTTGCTGCTACCGAACAGTCTCTGCGCAGGCTGTTTTGGTGGTGACTGGCATAATACCCGTGGATCTTCGGGACTTTCAACGCAAAAGGATCCGCGGGAGCAGCGCTGACATACGACGAAAGAACGCGGCAATCGCTGAGCGCAACAGGGCAATCGACATTTGGTAAGGCCGATGGACAGAGGAACGAGGTGGTATCTGGACAAGACGATTGATACGGAACTTGAGGCTGTGGCTCGGAAGGAAATTTGGTGATGTAAATTTCTACGTCACTCAGCTCTTGACGGGCCACGGGTACTTCCGACGGTACCTTTACAATATGAACAGACTACGAACACCCGACTGTAAGTACTGTGGACACGAACGAGACGACGCGGAACACACGTTTTTTGCGTGTGACCGCTGGACAAGACTCAGACAGGAATTGGAAGAAACGGTCGGCAGCATCACCGTCGAAAACATCGTGGCTGTGATGCTGCGTGAACCCGAATGGTGGCGCTTAGTCGCTACCTCTACGGAAACTATACTGAGACGTAAGAACGCGGACGGCTGCTTGAAAGATGACTGAGCAGACGAAGTAACGAGACGTAACGAGATGTGGAGAAACGACACGAATGGACGCACACAGACAGAACGTCCAGTCAGAAGTAATATCAACATAGTCCCTGGCTGAGGAAAGGACACCAAGGAGATGGCGGTTTAGTGGGTAGGCCTATTTTTTTTTTCGGATAGTCCCACATAACCCCTTAGTCAGAAAGACTAAGGGGAATTCGCAAAAAGGATTCCGCAACTCCTTGTAAAAAAAAAAAATAATAATAATAATAATAATAATGAGTATATTATCGTAGAAAAGTCACAGCTGATAAATGGTTTGTGAATAATAGTAAGTAATTTATTATTAATAATTTGCTTTATTAATAATGTTAATGTAAAATAACACATTTTCATAAAATTAAATATGACTCAGATATAATTTCTACTAAACAATAATAAAATATCGTCTATAATGACCACGTCCTAGTACTATACTCCCAAGCGTTGACCGCAATCGTTACCGCATAACACAGCCTAATTTTAATCGATGACATGAGTATTCTTATATTTTCCACTTTTATTTTATAACTGTTTTTTATACATAATAGGGAAGACAGACAAAAACCGAAGAACTTTTGTAGAAAGTAGAATTTTGTATTATTTAAACCGAATACCATAAATACGTTCAAGTCCGATTAAAATAGAAAAATCTTTAGGATCGACCTTTTGATCCAAAAATAAAAACTATACGAATCCGAACCTGAAGGCCAAAGCCCTCAGTTGGCTTTAATTTCTGAGATATCCTAACCTAAAAATGCAAAAATAATGTTTTTGTTTATATTTGAGGGTATGTAGCACCGAATTTTATTTTTTGCTTAAGAAACTATAAATGATATCTTAAAGGAAAATTCTAGCTTTTTCAAATGTTGTTGAGTTTGCTCGAACATTTATTTGATTTTGCTGAGATATCCCATTTTTAAATTTTAGATAAATGGGTATGTATAGAGAGAGTGATGTCAGGACAGATGTCAATGATTTCCAAGTATGTATTTAAACCATAGAGAAAGTTATAAATAATTTTTATACCTAAAATTTTTAATCAACCACAACGTTCAATTACCGAAAATTGAGTAGCTCGTCTTTAAATAAATTCATAAAATATTTTATTAAATTTTAAAAAATCTACTTGATTTTTTCATGAACATGTTTAACATGTTACTAAGTTTTCAATAGTAAGTATATTTCTCAGGTTCGACAAATCAATTATTTAATCTGTAATAAAAATAGAGATTTTTTAGGTTGGACCATATTTGAGATCATATTTAGAATCCGATGCAAAAACTGAGTATTTCATTTAAAAGAATGCTGAAAAAATATGTGACGGAACAAGCAGTATGCTTGGTCTTCGTCTGCTTTTCTCCCTCTTTTTACACCCCTTCTTTTTCGACAAGGCACAGTAGCCAGCGTTGGGGGCATATTAGAATATGCGTATCACTTGGCCTTTCATTTCAACGTCGTTGATTACCGAGGAGCGACTGAAGAAACCCGACAAGCTCCAGTAGTGGGAGCGAGAAAGAATGAGAGAGAGAGAGAGCGAGCGAGAGAGAGTGCACCTAAAAATTGTAGGTTAAGTGAAAATGATGGGGAACGCGAGCCAAAGACTGTGAGAAGGCCGCGGTCAGCAAAAAGGCGTACACTTCCTTCTCATCAACCCTTGTAAGAGCATCTTAGTAGACTGTTGTGCGAGAGTGAGTAACCACGACCGCCGAATATTGTATATTGGGCCGGACCCCTCTACGAGAGATAGAAGAAGACAGCAAGCGCATCCCAGTAGAAAGAAGCAAATAAGGACAGTCATCACCAACATTAAGAGTCTTCGCCCAGTTGCCCATGCACTACAAAGGAGACTGCCCTTTTGCGAGGTACGGCTGATTGAAGAAAAGGGGCTACCCAACGCAGTTTCGCTCAGCCGCCTACTTCATCACGCCAACTAGTTCGAAGAAGGCAAGGTCAGGTTTTCGTTTTCTCTCTCTCTCTCGATCTCTCTAATCTCTTTCGCCATGGCAGACTTGTGATCGATGTAGATTAAGCGCGGGGATACTCTGTAGCCATGCGTTTACTTATCGGCTACCGGAGATTTTTTTTGTTCCGAGCAGCGGCTTAATAGGTTAAGTGGGGTCAACAGGTAATGGGCTACCAAGCCATTCACCCGCCGGGCAGATTACACCTTGCAATGGTAGTCGATTCGATTAATCGATCTGTTCGTGATACTTTCGGTATTCTTGCGATATTAGAGAGAACGACTAAGAGAGAGAGGACGCGCGAGAATTTAAAAATTTAGTTAATCCTGAGCTATTAATTAGCGTAGTACCGCCAAAATAGTTTTGCATAGTGTTTCACCGATTTTGCCAATAAAAAGTTTACCTGGATTTTGGATACGTGTGCAAGGGTGAGCGAGGAAGCAACTACAGCAGCAGAATTGCAGCAACAGCAATTTGGAAGCAAGTTTGGCAGCGCAGCTAATACCTGAAGAGCACCAACAGTCAATTTGCTTCAACAATTACGGCTGATCACCGTAACTGCACCGCAGGGTAGGTGCACCTCCCTTTTATTGCGCGACAAGATACTAGCGAGAGTATTTTGTCTTTCGCGGCAGTTTCGAATTCTCTCTCTCTCTCTCTTTCTTTCTCGCTCTCTCTCTCTCTCTCTCTCTCTCTTTCTCGCTCTCTCTCTCTCTCTCTCTCTCTCTCTCCGTATTATTATTAATTATTGTAAAATTCCATTCACGTGCGTTAGTCTTTCGGCCCGTGTAAGACTGTAGTTTATTTGAATTAAACGTTATTAATTTTATTCCTCGCATTACGTCATTTTCGTTTCCTATCAGTTTTACGGATCTATTACGGATTAAATTTTAAACCGATTTCATCTAGGGGATTAGGTCGAATAAGCATTAGGTCACTCACACCTAAGATAGATCGAGTGTCACAAGTCAGGTGACTTAAGGTGAGTTCAACTCTGTTGCAAACAAGACACTGAAACGAAAGTATCAAACGTAAAGGCGAATACAGGTATACCTATACGTGTTTAACGGAGCGGCGGTTAGCTCTGCATCGTGGGAATTTGTGCTTTAATATATTCTTATTGCAAATCTACTCCGTTACAACCTACACTTAATTCTGTTCCGGTTATAATTATTGTATTTTTGCGCGTTCGTTTTTATTGTTTCTTGGTTGGAAGAGTTCTGTATTGAGTTTGTTCGTTTATCGTTTGTTAATAATTAGAAATAAAATTTTGCATTTGATAAATGGTGTATATAATTATATGCGGACCTATGTCCTCTCTTTCCACTTCGATTACTAAGAGCGGAAGCGCTTCTCTTATCTTCCTTCAAGAATTAGTAGCAAAAACACGATGATGGTGCGCCTATCTATTACAAATACAAAAGATATATTATCACAAATTGAACTCTACTTTCCGCAAAAAATCTTGAGTCTTTTGATCTTTTAGTTATTCATAATTCTTAAAAGAAAGGTAGTAACTTTTGAAAATCAAAAATTATTGTTTACTGTAAATGTTTTCAAGGTTTAATGCTATGTATATAAATTTATATAAATTATTATAATTATATATAATTAATTTATATGTAAATTAATCTCTATACCGTTATTAGTTTAAAATAAAGTTTGAAATATAGTTTTTGGAAAATTTTTATTATTATATTTCAAAAATTTATAACCATGGCTTTAATAAGTATTTTGTTATATGAAACTGGAAAAATAATTACCTCTATATTTAGAACGAGAGCATTAAATTAAAAACAAATCCGTCATCCACTGTCTTAAGGCCCATCAAGGTAGTTAAAAATCATTCATGTATAAAATTTCACCGAATTTCAAATCGAATTTTCAGTGATTTTGCGATAATCTCAACAAAATGATGTTGAGATCTTACATTCACGTATTTTTTAAAGAGATTTACTTATGTCAGTAATACTTTAAATAAAAAATTTTGCATCTAACATATATTAAATGTATAGAATCAAATTATTACAACTTAGAAATGTCATGAAAATATTTATTAGAACCTAAATACTTCACTGAAATATAATGGTTGGATCAAGGATACATTAATTTGGTGTAAATCATAAATTTGTTTAATAGAATTTAACAGAGACAAATAGAAAGTTAACGATATGTAGTCATATACATGAAATAACTCCATCCGATAGTTTGTATTCGAAAAAATATAATTATTATATGTTATATGTGCATAAAAAATCTGTAAGTCAAAGAAGTACGAACTACTCGTAGATACTTTCAAGATCGTTAATTGATAAAAATGTATGTTTTACGGAGAGATCTTTAATCAAAGTTATGAAATCAATATTTGCGCGCGTACGTATATATATATATATATGTAATATTGAAATATTTTTGATAATTTATAATGATTATTTAAAGACATATGAAGCGATATTTATATGATCATGAATATACTATCTAATAATCAAAAATGTATCATAATCAAATTTGCATTAAGTAACATTCAAATATGGTTTCTTGGAAATATTTCGAAAAGCCTTATACCATCCATGTTAACGTAAAATTCAAAATGAAACGACTGCATTTAAAAGCTTAAAATAAAACATAAGCGTAAGGATATTTGATAGGTATGCTAGTGTTAATGTGACGGGCCAAATAGTTCCATCCAAGAGTTTTAGCTATATCAATACATTTTTCATCAATTTCCTTGATAGGTTTATCTTCATAATAGCGTACCAACAATTTCAAATATCTTCCGTAGTGTTTGTTAACGTGGGCATGCCAAAGCGAAAAATTAATCAACTGAAACATATTAAAATTGTTTGATAATTCCCTGTCATGTATGAAATAATTTAAATTAGTAGTTACCTTAGGATCATTAGGTTCAACAAATTTTTGGGTTTCATTCCAAATCTCATTAATGCTGGACATAAGAGATTCTGTAACAGTAGTTGGCTCATTTTTACTATTAGCTTGTATATAGAGCCGAGCGAGAGCGCAACCCTTTTTAACCAGAGCCTCTAGAAGCCAATTTCTTTGTTTATCCATACTGTTTTTGATTTTCAAGGCATCTGGCCTTTGATCACATTTGAGTCCATAATATTCAAGTAACTGTTTTTGATCAATCGATTTAAGAACTTCATCAGCAACTGTTATTATCTGATTGGTGAAGTGTAGTATTGTTTCAGAAAGTTCATCATTAGGTACGATTCTCGGTGCATCTGATGAGTCTAGCGAACTTAGCATGGCTATATGAACTGCCAAATAATCCGGGTATTCGGCTCGCAACTCGTTGTATAACTCCTTTGCACACTCCCCTGGCTCTTCATTCGTTCGTGCAACAGAAAATTTTTATTTATATTTATAATACACTATAATTCGTTAAGAACATCTAGAGAAACCAAAACATTTAAACAATTTTAATTGAATTTTTCATGCACTATCGGATAAAATCATTCAACATCTTTGCAAATAAGTTATCGTTCTCATAGGGATTTTTTAACTATCACATTATTGATTACTTGTAAAACTTACGTATTGATGGAGCTATATTAAACAAAAGTAAAAATTGATTAAACTAGATAAATTATTAATTTTTAGAAAAAGTATGATATAAACATTATTAATAAGTGATGAGTCAGCATACATTACTTACCCAACTTGGCAAGCCAGTGGCATTTTAAATCGCGTAAAGCTTCATTAAATTCATCCCATTTAGTTTTATCTTTATCATATTCGTTATTCTGAGTCTTTTTACTTGGTTCCGATAATATAAACTTGAATATATGCGTATCTACTCGATTGCCAATTTCATCTTTACAGAAAGATATTATACCTTGTAGATATGCGCCTAGCGTAGCTCCTTTTGATATTCTGGAATTTATTTAATACGATAAATGTCTTTCATTAGTTCCAAGAATATCGTGATGTCATATTCAGTAATCATATTATTCATGATTCATTATTCTTAATTATGGAATGGGCTGCCCCCCCCCCCCCCAAACCCCTAATTCCTCATACGTAAGATCATATGTACGTAAGAACATAATATAAGTAATTTGTCACCAATTATGCCCACTTGCAGTATAACATTTTTCCTATATAGGATTTTATTTACAAACCAAATCATGATGCATAGCGCTTTATATATAGTTTGTATATTCGATTTTCTGATGAATAATTGATTAATTAGGTGGATTACAGTTCTTTGAAAAACAATTACTTGTGTTATGACACTGCCGCACACGTTGTTTTACCCCTTCCGAGTAAAATTGTTCAAACTTTGAAGTTTCATATGTTCCTTTAAAACTAACATATAGAGATGTACGGCAGCCCATTTGAAGGCTCTTTCATAGAGCTTTAAAATGGTATATATCATGAGTACAATTAAATAGTTTTTCTAATTTTTTCAAACAATTTTTCATCGATGAAAATGCCAAAATTTTAAGTACATTTTTGATCTCTTGATAATTGTAGGGAAAAAATCTCAGAAAAATTTTTAGCATGGAATTTCCTTCCTCTTTCCAAATTAGAGCATTTTTTTCAAAAATTTACGTTTACTTTTCAAATGTTCATTACTTTTCAAGTTCAAACCATAAAAAAAGTGTACATAAAAGAAAATGTTCCTTTTTCTATGTACAAAACTGTGGAATTTTCTCAGACTTTTGCGACAAAAACATTTTTCACCTTTTTTCCTATATAGTCGATGCAAAAAAATGAAAAAATGATCTGAAACCTGAAGTGACCTTCTTTATTTTCAAAATAAGAATTACATGTATATAAAATTTAGCTAGCCCTTTTCAGATAAAAAAAAATCGATAAAAATCGATATGAGTATTATTCAGCGCATTGGCTCTACTCTGATTTAAATAAGCCTCTGGTTACTCTATATATACGTTGTGACGGTAAACGTCAAATTAGCGCTGATAACCTAACTTAATTGCTGCCTGGGAGGGCAGCACCTGCCGGGGGGACGAAATTGGTAACGAAGGAATTCGGCACGCGAGCAGACGGAACGCGCGCGATTGAAACCGAACTAGTGAAGCTTAGACCATCATTGTGTTCGCCCGCTTTTCTTTCCGCTATCAATCCGAGTGCCGCTTAAGTCGATCATTTGGGAGAAGAACAGCCGAATCAATACCAGCTATCAGTGATTGCTGTCATCAAGGTGCCCATCAGCAGCCTAGGGGAGAAACCCGAGCCAGCGAGGAAGCGCGAACCTCCAGGAGATCGGCAGAGTGTGTGTGGTTTCGCCATTGAGGGCGAAACGTGTGTGCGCGCATCCGCGACCGGCAAAGACAAATAAAAACAGTTTGGCGCAGTGCGACGCTTTATCGTGTCACCTCCGCGCGCCTGCAATAATAAGGTAAGCTGGCCAGCTTAATCTCGCGATCGCGGTTGCCTGGTTAACAAATAAATTATCGTATCCGAAGCGTGCATGTAGCGGCTCTAATAACAAAGGGCAGCGAGCGTCCCGACACTGTACGTTGTCGATGAGCGAGCGTCGATGTAAACAAACGCGCGGGCCGAACTTGTGTAGTATTTGAGGAATAATAAAAGGTTCAATCCGTATTACTAACAAGTGTTTTTCCGATTCGCTCACACCTTACAGCTCCCATTCAATTTATTATAGGTTATTAAGAATTACTGGCTGACTGACGCCTGTCTTCACATGCTCTCCGGACTGCATTCTGAGCATAAATAATTACTTTCGCTCCTTTGATTTAATTGCGCGAATAAAATATAATTAAACGGTTTTACCCCGTTACATGGCGCCCAACGTTAAAGAACCTACGGTGTTTTTGATTGTTCAAAACACCGGTTCTCAATAGTAACCTCGCGCCCAGTCAACCAGCGACTTAGGTGGCAATCAAGCGTTGTTGTCCACACTTGATACCGAAGGCCACATTAGTAAACAGAGCCGGTTAGTTAGCTTGCGAAGGCCCGCCGCGGCGTAAAATTGTAAACAATAGCTGTGAACGCGTGCGAGTGCGACCGAAAGATTCTTAAACGTAAACACCAACGAATTTTGAAAGTTGCCGCAAATAATATTATTATACCCGTTGGCCCGGGGAAAACTAACACCGGCAATTTTCAAACGAAATTAATTCAATTGAGTAATTTTATTAGATATCGCGCTGTCTTAACGTAAATGTGTTTTTTTTAAATATTATTAACTGCGGTTATTGGTGATTACGCGCAACGCTCGTTACAATATTTTACATACTAACTCACACAGCCGTACTAACAAACAGTTAGTGTGTCTGATAGGCAGGATCATTATATTGCGTATTAACGAGCGAAGAATCTTTCGGCAAATAAATCGTAAAACGCCTTTGATCAAGCCCAGTGTTGGCTAATAAAATTTTTTATTTTCATTCGGCGTACGAATTTTAATACAAAACTCGCACTCGCGTAACATACCTGTAAATTTTACAAAGAAATCAAACGCAAGCAAACAAACAGAGAATTATGGACGGCACTCAGACAGAGATAGAAAATTGGGTATTGACGCTCCAGGAGGAGGAAATTGAAGAGTACCTCGAGCAATTGGAGCTCAAAACAAGCGGGACCAGGCTCTCGAGAGCTACACGACTACATAACTGGTTGCTCGGTGACTACTCGGCAGCAGATTTCGCAGAAGTCAACAACCAGCACAACAGTCCAGCCAAAAGAGCAGCCCTACGCTCGGAGCTAATAGTATCCCTATGCCAGGAACACACAGCATCCGAGCAGGAGGGAGAACACCCGCTAGCCCAACTTATGCAAAGTGCAGACGTAATATCGCGAGTTCAGAAAACCGCGATAAACATCGCGAATGCCCTGGACAGCGGAGAGAACACGAATAGTAATAAAAGTATTACTATAACGGCTGACGATGGCAGCCAGTTCAAACTCCCGCCGGCATTCGCGGTGATGATTCAAGACCTTATTTTCCGGTCCAGAGAAAATGAGAAGAAATGGGAGGTACAAGACTCACGGAATTCGAATACGTCTAACCTAACACAAATAGTAGACCAAATCCTCAAGACCAACATCAAGGTGCAGGAACAAATGGACAACCTGTCAGCCAGGATGAACGAACTGGAAAATGCCATACACAGAGATATGCGGCAAGACGATTCGAACAGTTCCAACGAGGAGCCACAACCGGAAAACACGCGTAGGAGCGTCGCATTCCAGGATACATTCACATGCTACTACAGGCTACCCCAGAGCACTCCAGCCGGACCCCGCGCGGGACGCCCCCTTTCGGAGAGGGTGGACAGCATCAACTCGGTGGAGTTAATTCTGAAGTGGACAACCACCCGCCGAGCATGTGGTCATCCCAACAGACGTCAAACCCGTGGTCGACAACAAGAGACGTCGGCCGCATCGTCCGGGGATGGAAACTCAGGTTTTCCGAAGAAGGCAACGCGAGCATTGACACCTTCTTATCAAGGCTGGACAACTCGAGGAGCAGCGCCGGACTCACAGAAGACGAGATGCTCATAGCTGTCTCCGAGCTACTTGTCGGTCCTGCCCTCGTCTGGTTCGAAGAAATGCGAAACGAATGGTTCTCCTACGCGGATTTCGAGGCAGACGCCAGAGCCTGGTTTGGGATCAGCAGTCAACAACAGCAGCGTCTAACCAAAGAGGTTCAAGGCCGATACCAAGGCCCAGACGAACCCGCGAACGTCTACATCGCGAACATGATGGGCCTAATGAGTCGGCTGAACCCCAAAATGACGCACGAGAACCAGCTGGACCTGCTACATGCCAACCTCCTCCTGGAAATCCAGAGCCAAATACGGAGATCAGAAGTGGACTCCGTACGGACCCTGAACGACCTAGCCACGACGGCCCAGAGTAACTTGCATCAGCGACGGATGGAGCGGACGATACCAGACCCTCAGTCGACTCTATATCCTGAGTTGGCGTATCACCCCCGCACCGACGCGAGCAAGGGTCGTAAGGGGAAGGTGGCATCTATGTCCGGTGACAAACCGGAAGTCAATGATAGGTTGGATCGCATGGAGAAGGTACTCGAGAAGGTGACGCACCAGGTCGTCTACACGCCGACGCCCTCGGGGGCGACACCTAATCCGAGTCTGGAATCTGTCGATGGCGAGAAAAAGGCTCTGCCCATCGACATATTTAACCAAATGAAAGGAAATGACGGCGGAAATAAAGAATAATCGCGCCGACAAAACTCTGACTTCCGAGGACCGAGCCAAGAGACCGGAGACTCCCCGCAGACGAGGAAGAGAGTTCTCAGGGCCGATTAAATGTGCCGAGTGTGGCCTACTGGGGTACTACAGGAAGTTCTGTCCCCAATGCAATAAGGGAAACGAGCAAAGGAGTGGGATAGGTGGGGTTGACCCCACTCCTTCATCCCGTAACTCAAACCCCGTTAAAGAGATCTCGCGGCCTCCGCCAACACAGCCCGCGCCATTAGTAGCGAGCGTGTTGAACGTCGAGAACGAGAACTCCTTTAGTGACGCCAAAGACGAACGTGGCGGTAGAGTGCACGCGGAGAAAGAGGGTAATGACGTTAATAAAGCCAGAGACCCTAGACCAGCCGGGGCGGTGACGTATGGATCGCGCACGCCCTCGGGGGCACGGGCAAAGGCGGATAAATCGTCGAAGAGTAACCCCATGGAAACTCCGATCGTCCGAACCAAAGGGGCTCGGACGACAAGTAACGTCACTCGACCACGCGACAGCACAATGGCTAGCGCTATGATGAATAAGGAGCAAAGCTGTGGAGCCGTCGAAGCTGTTTCCCGATATTCCCCGGAACAGGAGACGCGTTGGTAGCTACCGGTGAAAATAGGGGACTTCCAAATACGGGCCCTCTATGATCCGGGAGCTTCCACCACAGCCATGGGTAG